CAAGGAACTCCTGGGACGAAGAGAAGGTTTCGGCCGCAAGGTCAACCAACTCCATCGTGGTTAACGACTCAACACCCCCGGAGAGGTGCAAACCAAGCGAGTCTAGATTGGCGGCGATTCGCTGATACAGCCTCGCCACCACATCAGCCGGCAGCTCCAGCTCCTCGCCGTCGTCGTCGTCGTCGCCGTCGCCCTCGCCCTCGTCCTCCTCCTCCTCCTCCTCGTCGACCTCCATGGTCTCCGAACCGCGTTCGACATCCTCCTGGTGGTCAAGCCCGATATTAAAGTCACCAAAACTGGCGAAGACCTCCATAAAAGTGGTGGGCTCCTCCGCTATCTCGTCGTCACACTCCAAAACCACCGACTCGTATACGTCCCCAATCGTACGGAGAGGATCGACGAGATGCATCGCGAAACAAGAAAATCTACTAAAGTAGGAAAAAGAGAGACGAGGGAAAATCCCGACGAGACGCTACACACAACTAACGCTCGACTGAAGAAAAGAACCAGACGACAAAACCATCTCCAACTAAAAAACACCCAGTCAGCGAAATGAGATTAAATGTAATGATAGCCGAAATATTATTGTTATATCCACACGTGAGTAGGGATCGATCAGGAATAAAAGGCTAGGCTCTTACAGAAAAGTCTCCAGGTATCAATAACTAAACTTACTCGTTTAATTTGAGCAACACGACACCGACTCGTAACTTCTGTCGGCGAGCGAGAGAGAGACCACCGCACCGCCTGGTGGCGAGGCGTACATCGAATCCACGGAAAACAAAAAGTATCGCAGGCTATCTATCCTGTATTCATCCGCCAGCAACGCGGCAGTTTAACTTATACTTAAAACGATCCTCTAACACCCTCCCCTCTAACAATAAGAGAAAACGCAACCTAACTAAGAAATTTCGCAAAGTAACATATATAAGGAATATTGCCTAATAAGCATAATTATCGAAACAAAAAAAACCATTATAAAATTAGGCTTATTAATATCTCCTGTTACAACTGAAAACGATCAGGAGGTTTCCGGATGCGAGTCGACCTGCGCAATGGTATAATAGTTTGCGGAGGATCTTCTCTATCTCGTCCTGGTATCTGCGATGTTTGCGAGCCTCTTTCTGCTTGTTCGTCACCTTCATTTCTTGATGTCGGAACTTCAATTAATTCTTCAGCAGGTCCCTAGCTCAACACATGCTCTTTAATTTTGCTTTCAACTACCGGGGTATTTTGACCGATCTTACGCATTTGATCTACATGTCTACGCCAAATTTGACCGTTATCCAACTTTATTTCGAAATTGCACTCGCCTAATCTACTACTAATCCTACCAAATTTCCATTTCTTCATGCCTATGTAATTTCTGCAGCTCACTCTTTCCCCCTCTTTAAAAAAACTACCAGAGAACGGAACTTTCTCTTTATGTTTTTCTGGGAAAATGAGTTGTAGTCGATTTCGAATTTGCCTCCCTAGAAACAATTCTGCCGGCGATTTCCCGGTTACTGAATGTGGCATTGTACGGTACTGTATTAACATTTCTTGTAGTTTTGTTTCTACGTTGACTCCTGTACTACACATGCGCTTTAGTGAATTTTTAAGCGTTTGAACAAACCTTTCGGCTTGTCCATTTGTCGCTGGGTGGTAAGGTGCTGTTAATTTTAATTTAACACCTCGCTTTTCTAAAAAGTTTTTGAACTCCTTAGCAATAAACGTTCTTCCATTATCCGATACTAAGTATTTCGGATATCCAAAAGTCGCAAAGATTTCATCTAACACTAATATCGTATTCGCTGTGGACATGTTTTT